ATAATAATCGACCATGTCTAGTAGCAACAAATTCACACGAGTCTCAAGACCCCCAATCACCACCATACAAGAACGATGGACTCGATCTACCACAATAGAATCACCTACCGGTGTAGACACATAAACGGGAACACTCAATAAATCACTAGGCATAACTAGATACGGTGCAAAATAAGATGACACATGCGAGTAGGTAGACCCTGGATCAAATAACACTGAAGCATCTTTATCACAAACTAGAATAGTACCTGTGATAACCACATCTGAAGCCTCAGCCTCGGGCCTAGTTGGAAGAGCATAACATCGGGGATGGGCGCCACTACCCTGGACTACATCCTTGGGACGACCTGCAGCTGGCTGGCCTCCACCCCTAGTGGCCTTAGCTCCACCTCTAAATACTCTACCTCCACCTCTAGCACCTCTACCCCCACCTCTAGCTGGCTGTGCGGTCTGTGGAACACCTGGTGCCTGAACTATAGCGCAGGAACCCTGCTGCTGCGACTAAGTACCCATTAACCTCGGAAAAGTCCTCCTGATATGACCATACTTACCACACTCAAAACATCCACCTAAGTGTTGTGGCTGAGGAAACTGACACTGACCCTGGCGACCTGAATGACCACCCCGAAAACTATGGAGTGGCGGTGCACTGATAGGAGCTGGTAGTGCACTGTAGGACTGCTGATCAGAATACTGCATCTGCGAACCACGACTACCTGAAGCACCGTGAGAAACCTAAGGAGCTGACTGAAAGGGCCTAGGAGGATGGCCTCTACCATATGAATCTTTGCCTCCAAATGAGGCACCACTGAATCTACCCGAATGACAGGGCCTCTTATCTGACCCATGACCACCTCCCTGTGATAGAATCATCTCCACTCTCCTAGCCATATTGGCCTCCTCCTGAAAAGTAATCTCACTCCCAACCTCCCTAGCCATCTGAAGACGAATCGGCTGAATAAGACCATCAATAAACCTCCTCACCCTCTCTCTCTCGGTAGGAAGGATGACAAGGGTATGGCGAGCCAAGTCGATGAATCTGGTCTCATACTGGGTAACCATCATGGAACCTTGATGGAGACGCTCAAACTGCCTCCAGTAGGCCTATCTCTGAGTAATAGGGAGAAACTTCTCCAAAAACAACACTGTAAACTGCTCCCAAGTCAAAAATGGCAATCCGGCTGGACTAGCCAAGCAATAATCTCTCCACCAAGTCTTGGCAGAGCCAGACAAGTGAAATGTATCAAAATCAACCCATTGGTCTCAACAATACCCATGTTCCTGAGAACCTCATGGCAGCTGTCTAGATAATCCTGGGATCCTCAGTAGATGCACCACAGAAAGTAGAAGTGAAGAGCTTGGTGAACCTATCCAGCCTCCACAAAGTATCGACAGACATAGCTGCTCCATCGCCGGTCTGAGCTACCACACCCGACTGAACTACTCCAACTGGCTGAACCACTGGAGTCTGAATCTGGGGAGCTACCTGCTCCGGAGTGCGGGTAGCAGAAGTCTGGGCCCCTCCTCCAGCCTGAGAGATGGCTGGTGCTATAGGAAGCAAGCCTGCTCGGGTGACACTCTCCATGAGACCCATTAATCAGACCAGAGCATCCTGAAGAACTAGGGTAGCAATAAATCCCTCTGGGACTTGAGCTGGGCCCACCGGAACTGCTGGGGCCGGAACCTCCTCATCAAAATCAACCTGAGGCTCCGTCACTGGTGCTGCTGCTCGGAGTTGAGCTCTGTCCCTACCTCGGCCTCTAGCACGGCCTCGGCCTCGTNGGGGCCGGAACCTCCTCATCAAAATCAACCTGAGGCTCCGTCACTGGTGCTGCTGCTCGGGGCTAAGCTCTGCCCCTACCTCGGCCTCTAGCACGGCCTCGACCTCGCCCTCTGCCCCTCGTGGGAGCTGCTGCTGGGAGTTCGGGCTGCTGAGCGGTAGATGAGGAAGCGCGTGTTCTCGCCATCTGCGAAAGAACAAAGTAGAAATTCAATTAGCATTGAGAAACAAAACCGCACGACAGGAAAGAACAAATGTGAAGTTTTCCTAACTCTGTAGCCTCTGGGGGATAAATATAGACGTCTTCGTACCGATCCCTCAGACTCTACTGAGCTTGTTCATGAATTGTGAGACCTATGTAACCTAGAGATCTGATACCAACTTGTCACGACCCGGATTTTTCCCACCTCGGGAGTCGTGATGGCGCCTACTCGTAGAAGCTAGGCAAGCCACGAAATTAGGAATCTTTAACTCTTTTGTTTTGATCCTTTTCACAACTTATATTAACAAATGATAAATATTTAAATAACAGCAGAATATGAGATTAAGCGGAAGACTTAGACAAAATAAACCAAAATAATACGGAAATCAACATATGCCTCTACCCAGAAACTGGAGTCACAACATTTACGGACTAACTATGATTACTACATACAAATGTCTGAAAGAAAGATCACTGTCTGTCTCAAATACAAATGATAACAGAACATAATAAAAGATAGAGGAGACGTCAGGCCTGCAGGGCTACCTCGGAGTCTCAGTGGACTGAAGGCTAGCTCCCCTACTGCTGCTGACCAAGTGCTGCTCCGGTATCTGCACAGAGTGCAGAGTGTAGCATCAGCACAACCGACCCCCTGTGCTGGTAAGTGTCTGGCCTAACCCCGGCGAGGTAGTGATGAGGCTAGGACCGGACTCTAGATAAACCTGTGCAGTTATATAACATAAGGCGAAAAATAAATAGGAATAAGCAGTTTAAATGGGAGGGGGTACATGCTTCGGGGAACATATCAAATCCAACAGCAACTTAATAAGATATGAAAGGACAATTCAATATCTACAATAATACAATAACAATACTGTTGCGGCGCACAACCCGATACCTTATCATTTAATATTGATGCGGCGTGCAACCCGATCCACATATATAACTGTTGCGGCATGCAACCCGATCCAATATAATATCTGTTACGGCGTGCAACCCGATCCACATATATAACTGTTGCGGCATGCAACCCGATCCAATATAATATCTGTTACGGCATGCAACCCGATCCAATATAATATCTGTTGCGGCGTGCTACCCGATCCATATATAATAAAAGTGTTGCGGCGCGCAAACCATACCAAATATACAGTCAACAGTGATCATAATAACAGTCCCGACAAGGGGTCAACAATAAACTACACTATCCCGGCAAGGGAATTCAACAGTACAAGTATATACATCCCGACAAGGGAGAATCGGCTATAACCAATCTTAACTCAACTCCTACTCATCTTAATTATCACCATTTCTCCATCATAAGTATCTTCCACGAAAATAAACTTAAGTCGTTACTCATTATCAAGAATTCACCCACTATAGCATTCGTAGTATCATTTAGGGAAACAACAAGTATCAATTAAGGACTCACGGTCATGCTCGACACCAACGTATAGATACTCGTCACCATGCCTATATGTCGTACTCAACAAGAAGCAATTAGCAAATGGGACTCAACTCCTAATCCTTCAAGCTAAGGTTAGACCGAACACTTATCTCGATGCCTCGAACACAACTCAAGTTTCAATTATAGCTTTACCCCTTGATTCCACCGCCAATTCGCTATTTGGAGAAGCAAGATTGTTTGAAAAATTGCCTCTTATGTTTTTGGGTTTTGAAAAATAAAAAATAACTGAAAATCTCGTCTAAATATACTACTCTCAGACGCCCTGTGCGGACCGCACAAAATCAACTACGGCCGCACAACACTACTTGTGTTCTGCAGTGACAGGTCTTAGTATTTTGGCCATAACATTTTCTACAGATGTCCAAATGCTTATTATAATATGTTTCTGAAAACTACACACGAAGATCTACAACTTTTGTTTTTGAATCATCTCAAAATTCTTTATGGATCAAAAGATATAGGCTTCCGCAGTTGGACCTGTGAAGTGTTCTTCACCGCTGACCGCACCAAAACTAGTGCGGCCGAACACAAGCCCTTTGCGGCAGCAGTCTATATCGTGCGGACCACATTGGCCTGATAAGAGGCCTCCCACCTCTCTGAGCCTACAACAACTCTGTTTTTAAGCCTAAGACGTGTCCCGGAACCTACCCGAAACTCACCCGAGCCCTCGGAACTCCAAACCAAGTGTACACAAAACTTCAAAAATATCCTACGAATTTATTCGTGTAATTAAATCATCAAAATAACATCATGAACATCAAATTAAATCCCAAGATCAATGAAGTTTTCTCAAAACTTCTTTAAACATCAATTTTTGCAATTTAAGTCCGAATCACGTCAAATGACATCCATTTTTCACCAAATTCCACAGAAACGTCTTAAATCATGTATAAGACCTGTACCGGGCGCCAAAATCAAAATACGGGCCCGATACCATCATGTTCTAAGCAAATTTCATTTCAATTTTTCTTAAACAATTTCAGAAAATAATTTCCTCTAAAAATTCATTTCTCGGGCTTGGGACCTCGGAATTCGATTCCGGGCATACGCCCAAGTCCCATATTTTCCTACGGACCCTCCGGGATCGTCAAATCACGGGTCCGGGTCCGTTTACCCAAAACATTGACCGAAGTCAAATTAACTCGTTTTATAACCAAATTGTTATCATTTTTCACAGATTTTCATATTTAAGCTTTCCGGCTACGCGCCCGGACTGCGCACGCAAATCGAGATGACTCTAAATGAGGTTTTCAAGGCATCGGAAACACAGAATTTAATTTAAAGCAAATGACCCAAATATGTACACCCCTAGACACAGAACTCTTGCAAATTAAGGTATTTCTTTTTTACTTCCTTCAATAACTAACATTTTACAAAAATATGGCAAATAAAGCAGAAAATGAAGGATAATTTTTAGAAAAACCAAATGACATCACTATTACCTCTCTAAGATTTTCTGCACATGGTAACGGTAATAGAAGAGGAAAAGCAGAATCTGAAACCATAAAAACTTGCTAAAAAATCAATTAAAAAAGAAGACTCACCGGACTATTTAGTATTTAGTAAAGTTTGCAATACCACATATTCGTTCCTCTCACAAGTTACTACTATAATAGAAAAAAGTCAAATGCTCTATATAATAGCAGAAGGCATTTCATCCAGATACAGAAGAAGATATTGGTAAATCAAGATCTTCCGGCACAAGCAATAAAGCACTAAATTACAGACATTTCAACTTTAAAGCCATTCAGCAATAGATTCATAAGCATTTTACATTTCTTCCATCATTTCATAATCTGCATCTCTACAGGATTAGAAAGTCTAGATCAACCAAGTAGTAAGAATCAAATGCAAAAACCTTACCTAAATGCATTGCGGATTGCCAATGAAAGCTCCCTTTTTGGTATCCTTAGGGAAATCATCTTTAAAAAAAATAGTAATTAGTAACTTTGTGGCTAAGATTGATCTTTATTTTCGTTAATAAACTATAAATTTTATGTAATAAAATCTTAAAATGAACAAAAGACACTTGAAGCCCCTAAAAGCATATACTCCGAGAGTCATTGTTGCATTCTCTATAGAGATACTACTCAATCCCTAGTATATTTGTCTGCAGATATTTTTGAAGTATTTGGAACGAATAGTGCACAACTACATTATTTTACACAGCATGTGCAGTTAACTGGCAAGCTTCTATGGTGAAGAAATTACTTCATTAAATACTTGTGCTGCAGAATGATATCTCTCATAGCATCTAAATTGTTTATTAAAAGGAATTACTGAGTAATGGTAAAAATTTAGCAATAACCTTAGAAAACATACATCTTTTGGAGGTGCTAATAGAATAGCAATTAATTCAAAAGTACTAACTTCATTGTAAGACCTGCATAACACAGGGGGCCTTATGCGACCTCAAAGTTTAGATGACCTACCTCCTGAAGTATTGTGTTTTATATAGCACAACTCTTGTACCTGAGGTGCATAAATTTTCTCATACTTGCATCAAACATTTTGTCATATTAATGGTCACAAAGTCAATCTCTTACAATGAGATATCATCATGCAAAGCAGCTATAATAGTTGGCTACACAGACCATCAGATATGTTGTAGTAACTAATAGTCAAATAGAATATATGTAGTTCAAAGTAAATGCATATAACTCCGGAATCAACTGACCCTTCGTAAATTCAGCAATGAATGGAAAGAAATCGTTCAGATAGAATAGTCTTTACTATGATTAAGATGAACATTTGAAATGCGTCATACAAGGAAGTTGTACAAACTCCACAATGAAGGAACCTCAGGAAAGGGATATCACTCACCGCTGAGATGTCAATAAAATTTCTCAATGAAAATTGTCTCCCCATCTTCAAGCTGCAAAATCCAAGAATTTTTACACAAGGAAATCTCTCATCAATTAAAAATTCAGTACAAGAAACAATAACGATGGGAAGACTAATTAAACTCATCGGCAAATCCATAAACATTACAAAGTGAATATTTTTTACAACTCATAGCACCTATCAACTGCTAAAAAATAAGCTTCTTGTCAATGTTTTCAGACTTCACATTGATTGGAAATGTCATTCTTTTGAGTAATTTAATACCTGGAAAAAACAGAAATGGCATATTATAATGTTGATAGCTTAGAAACTGGTAGAAAAAGAAAAGAAAAGAAAATTAATATTCTATAGGGACTTGGCCCATCTTTCTTTTATTGTTTGAGAAGTTTACATGTTGGTTTCTCTACTTTCTGATATGCACATAAACTGTATCAGTATCAAAACTTGCTGAATTGTTGTAAAGTCTAACAACCGATTCCAGTTCCCCTATCCTAACAAGCTTTGGATGAAAATGAATAAGGAAAAAAGTGAATGAGAACTACCAGCAATTCCAAGTGCATACTGGTCAGCTGGAAGCCTGGAACCTCATTTTTGGAGACAAAAGATGTTGAATACCTGCAGTAGTACATAAAGAATAAGTATACAAAATGTACCCAAAAGAAAGATGTCTATGGGCTTCGACTCATCATTCCTAAGACTAAAGTGTAACAGCAAGTAGCATTCTGACTTCCATGCAAATCATATCAGGAATAACTATGTACGCCACTTATGAAGATAACTCGACACTCCAATTCAGTTTTTGTACATCTTGAAGCAGCACCTTGAATTGTCTTGTACAGCTATTTAGTGGTTGAACTTTAGGAAAGTATCATTGACTGTAACTTTCTCCTTCATTTATTGCAATTACTTTTATCACATAAAAGCGTATTGAATTTCACTTCTCTCAAGCTCTATGTACCCCCGCCGGATGCATCTCTAGGATTTGACTCATGACTAATTTCACCAAAAACAGAATCTTCTCTCGCTATCTACTTACTTTTGATTTTTACCTTCTGCAAATAATTTGATATCCCATTTCTTCCCCTAAATAAGCAAAAAAAGAAAAAAAGAAAAAAAAAAAAAGAAAAAAAAGAACCAAAGGTCTTCTTATTAACTCTCAAAATAATATGCTTCTGCCGAAAATTTCATTTGGGCTCCAGCTACTGGCTTGTGTCTGGAAGCACTAGACTCTGTAAATATTTTTATAGTACAGCATACTATGTTGCTTCCCATCAGAGTGTTTACTCTGCATTTTGTAAAGGTACTAATCCTTGTCTTTGTAGACAATGTCTTCCACTTTCTAGCCACTTCACCATCTCATTTATAATAATCTTGGTTTTTAAGTTTTGAATTGTTGAGAAATCTATTATCTTAATAAGGGTATATTAGTAACTTACGTCAATACAATCTATCCATTGTTTTAACAACATAATAGTATACAATATAAGGTATAAAACCATTATGAAATGATATGCAATAACAATCCAAACATGAAATCGTTCTTTGTCATATTTGAATTTCTCCAAATTTCTAGTTATAAGTAATATCTAAAGGGGAATACAACATTGTCACTTGTGTTTGGTTCTTTATTAAGGTCTACATTTCGTAATTTTAACATTTAATTTACTCCTGGTAGACACATCCTTACATTATACACATGAAATATAAATCACAATCATTTTGCATTATAATTAACCACACAACATTAGAACAAAAAAGTGCAGAAATCACCTCTTATAGTCGAAGCAGTTTTCCCTTTTCCCCACCTTAAGCGACTTCCACTTTCAAAAGCCTGTGATAAGGAGCTAGACTAAAAATTCAAAAAGCAATCAGGTTCCCTGAAAAAATTCAGCTCAAATTAATCTTAAAGAAAAAATCATCTCAAATTCCTCTTAGAAAGAAAACATCGAAATAGTGACAAAACTATACAACTTAATGAAATCTCAAACTATTCGATGTAATTAAATTGATTGATTGTGGGAAAATAAAATACGCATGAGCAAATTCGACAAAACTCCAATAAAAACTACCCAAAAGCTCAAGATGTCCAAAAAAAAAATGGATTTAAAAACATGCATGGCAGAGAAAACAAAGAAAATAGAGAAAAATTCAAGGAAGATTATATTACATGATGAAATCATGTAAATTTACAACATAAGGTACCAAATCAAAAACAAATCCTTCTAATAAGCAAATATATCAATTACATGTAAAAGGTAAAAGAGCAACATAACTAATTGTTAAGTTGTTTCAGGCATATCATCAAACACCTGGCTACAACTCTATGTGTACTCTCGCTAAAACTCCCATCATGTGCAGAATTCGTATAGAGAACATGAAGAAAAACCCCCAAAAATCCGTAAGAATATCTATTCAAAATTCGGTGAATTGAGCATAAAAATAAATAATAGTTGCTGACATAGATAATCTTAACCAACAGTCAACACTCCGAATATTTCTTAATTCGGTCTTCTTGATTTGTTCATGGTAGATAAGTAATTAGAAACAATCTCCACCTTCAAAAGACCCAAAACATTAAAGATAAAGAATAATAAAAAACCAATAACCAAAGTGAAAGAAGAAGAACAACAAAACTCAGAAAAAGAAGAAAGCAGAAGAAAAGATTGAGCAAAATATTTCTATGGAATTCCAAGAGGAAGTTGTAAAATTCCCAAAGCAGGAATGCATACATGTTCCTAAATCGTAAGTAACGCCACAAAGTGAAGCCAGCCATCCCTGTCTCATCTAAGTAGCATCCGCTAAGGCTATACCTGTCTCGTCTAAAAGGATCATTCCAATCGATCAACTGAAGGAGTTCATTGAAGGAACCATTCAGAACAAATATGAAGTTGCTGCCAAATCCCCCTTACATATACAAAGCCGTACACTCAAGGATCGATATGTTGAAGATGCCTGCTGGCTATCAACCTCCAAAGTTTCAACAGTGTGATGTTAAAGGTAACCCAAAGCAACATGTGGCGCACTTTGTGGAGACGTGCAACAATGCTGGGACTTAAGGAGATTACCTCATCAAGCAGTTTGTCCGCTCGCTAAAAGGAAATGCTTTTGACTGGTACACAGACCTCGAGGCTATATCTATCGATAGCTGGGATCAACTAGAGCAAGAGTTCCTCAATCGCTTTTATAGTACGAGACGTACTGTGAGTATGATAGAACTTACAAATACTCGTCAACGAAAGGGGAACCAGTTATCGACTTTATCAATCGTTGGGGGAATGCAAGCCTCAACTGCAAAGACAAACTTAGTGAAGCTTCAGGCATAAAGATGTGCATCCAAGCCATGCATTGGGGATTGCGCTACATCTTGCAAGGTATCAAGCCTGACACATTTGAAGAACTTGCAACTCGTGCCCATGACATGGAATTGAGCATGGCCTCCGTTTGAAATGAAAGGCTGCCCATCTATGAACCTTGCAAAGGGAATGACAAGCAAGAAGTCAGGAAGTGGGGAAAGTTCGTACCCAAGTCTGAAAGCAAAGAAGCTATGAATGTCAACACGACACCTGTGAAGTCCATGACGAAGGTGAGTAAGAAGCAGAGTATGAAATCCACTTATTTTCAAGATAAGCCAAGTGGAAAGTTGACTCTAAAAGAAATGCAAGAGAAAGAGTACCCATTTCTGGATTCTGATGTGCCAACCATTTTCGAAGAACTTCTCGAGTTAAATCTCATTGAGCTTCCAGAGACGAAGCGACCAAATGAATCTGGGAAAACGAATGACCCAAATTACTACAAATATCACCGACTTGTAAGCCACCCTCTGGAGAAGTGCCTTGCCTTCAAGGACAAAGTTATGGACTTGGCCCGTGAAAAGAAGATCGTGCTTGAAGATGAGAAAGCAAGCGCGAACCAAGTCTCTATCACCTTTGGTGCATTCAGTCTAGATGAGTTATGCAGTTTAAAAGGAATCAAAAATGAAGAATTACTAGATAAAAACAAAGTTAAAGACGATCAACCTAATGATGATGAAGGTTGGACGTTGGTGACTCATCGTAGGTGCCACAAAAAGAGCCCACGAAAAGAATCAATAGAACAACCAACAAGGAAGATGATGGTAAAAAGACCAACGAAAAAGAATCCAGTTAGGCATTTGAAGAAAGCAAAAGTGGAGATGCACCACCCTCAAAAGCCACGACATACAATGACCTTGGAGGATTTCTTGCTATCTTGGTTCCACACGAATATTTCATGTGATGGTATTGAGGCCTCTTGTTGCAACGCTGATAAAGGGGAAGAAAAGAGTGATGACCTACCGTTGGCACCATCTTCGGAAAAGCTCATCGAGTCCAATCCTCAAGAAGTTAATGCTTGTGAGGAAAAAGTCACGTTCACAAATGACAATTTTCTGCTAGGTCTCTTCATAACTGCCCATTGTACCTGGTTGGCTATATGCAAGATGAAAGGGTAAATCAAATTTTGGTTGACGGAGGATCCTCAGTAAACATTTTTCCAATTTGCATTGAGAAATAACTTGGTATTCCCATGAACGAACTCTCAGAAAGTCGTGTGATGATCCAGCGATTCAACCAAGGGGGGCAAAGAGCCATAGATGTGATCAAGCAGGAAATCACCATTGAAGATACACAATCAAGTTCATGACTACATGTGATCGATGCAAAGACTTCATATAACGTCTTCCTTGGAAGGCCTTGGATACATGAGAATAAAGTAGTTCCATCTACCTACCATAAATGTCTAAAATACTACGATGGTAAAGTCGAGAAAAAGATAACTGCAGATGATAAGCCATTCACGGAGGCTGAGTCACACTTTGTCGATGCAAAGTTCTACTTGAAGAATCGTATTGTGAAGGAGCTAAAAGCTGATGATGGCATGAAAAGAAAGAATTACGAGCCCACAACTAAAAGAGCAGAGGTGACTACTGGTGAAGCCAAAGCTGTTACTGAAGAGATACAACCCAACACGTATAAATCTTGTTGAGGAAATATTGCGTCTTATGGCAAGAAAGTAAGTCATGCGCTCCAATATGTCCCTAAAAGGAAGAAATATGAAGGTGTATCATCTAGCCCCAAAACTAACATACTAAAGGAGTTAACTCTTCCAGTAAAACAAATCGAGGCAATAAAGTTGTTCTCAAAGCCACTTGCAGGGTTTGTGGCCCAAAGTCATTTGCAGAATGTGGCACTCCCTACAAAGCGAACAAATAAAGGTTTTGATCCTAACACTTACAAGTTATTTGCAAAAGCTGGATACAATCCTAATGAGTTATCAAAGTTAGGGAAGCTATTATCAGAAGCTGCAACGAGACAACCACGTGAAGGTTTGGGATACAATCAACCGTCACCAATGCACATCTCCATAAGAAGGGCGAGTAGCAATTATATCAATGTAGAAGACTAATCTACCTCTTCTAACAAGCCTTCTGTCTTTGATCGACTTTGAAAATCACATGTGAGGACCTCCATATTTGAAAGATTAGGTCCATTAAAGAAGGGGAACAAGTTCCAGAGAAATTTTCAAAGCATAAGAACACCCGCTTTGCCCAAAATCTAGAAGATCTCTAAGGATTTCCAAAGTTTGGTTCCTTCCAGAATGAGGTGACAAACAAAACTTGTGGTTTCATGTAAAGAAATACTGAAGGTAAAGTCATATGCTATGGTCTACACTAAGAAACGTGATGAAGATGAAGAAAGTGTGAGTTCTTCGTATCATGTTATTGTACAAGGTGAGAATGGTGTTCCATCTTCAATGGAGGATAATGCAGAATTGGAGGATGTTTCACCGTGTTGTCACATATACTTCAACGATAAGGACCCTCAAGAAGATGAAGTTGCGAAAGATGCTCCACCTGAACTTGAAGAAGGAGTGAAGACGACAGTTGATGCCTTAAAAGAAGTTAACCCTGGCACCGATGAAGAACCAAGACCCACCTACCTAAGTGCTTTACTAGAAGTTGATGAAGATAACACTTATATTGAGTTACTCAAGGAGTTCAGGGACGTCTTCGCTTGGAGTTACAAAGAGATGCCTGGCTTGGACCCGAAAGTAGCAGTCCATCACCTTGCAGTCAAAAATGGTGCTCGCCCTGTTAAACAAACTCAAAGGCGTTTTAGGTCGGACTTGGTTCCCTTGATTGAAAATCGAAGTTAACAAACTCATCGAATCTGGCTTTATTCGTGAAGTTAAATAACCAACATGGGTTTCAATTATTGTCCCTTTAAGGAAGAAAAATGGCCATATTCGAGTGTGTGTTGACTTTAGGGATCTTAACAATGCGTGTTCGAAAGATGAGTTCCCGCTTCCTATTCTAGAACCGATGATCGATGCTACTACAAGGTACGAGGCAATGTCATTTATGGACGGTTCATCAGGCTATAACCAAATTCGCATGGCGCCAAAAGATGAAGAGCTTACTGCATTCCGTACCCCCAAGAGTATTTATTGCTACAAGGTAATGCCTTTTGACTTGAAGAATGCTGGTGCTACTTACCAAAGAGCTATGCAGAATATCTTTGATGACATTCTCCACAAGAATGTCGAATGCTATGTTGATGACTTGGTGGTAAAATCAAGAAAGAAAAACGACCACTTAAAAGACTTAAGAATGGTGTTTGAGTTGCTCCGGAGATAGCAACTTAGGATGAATCTATTAAAATGCACCTTTGGAGTAACCTCCGGAAAGCTCCTGGGTTTCATTGTCCGACATCAAGGGATTGAAATAGATCAAGCTAAAGCAGATGCAATCTTGAAAATGCTTGAGCCCCGCAATATTCATGAATTGAAAAGTCTGCAAGGAAAGCTAGCATACCTTAGGAGATTCATCTCTAACCTAGCTGGGAGGTGCCAACCATTCAGCCGCCTTATGAAGAAAGGTGTCCCTTTCAAATGGGACCAAGCATGTAGCAAGGCCTTTGAGAGCATTAAATCCTACTTGATGAAGCCTCCGGTTTTGGCAGCCCCTATACTTGGAAAATCGCTGATGTTATACAT